ATATGATTCATCCTGCTGTACCTTCCATCAGCACCAGAAAAGCATGTGTATTCACCTGTTACTGGGAGGAGCGTTCTATAAATATCAATGTGATCCTGTTGGTCGATGATCTTGCTCAATGCCATATTCTTGCGGACTTTCTGCCAATTTTTCCTACCAATTGTTGAGAAAGGGATGTTGAGGTCTCCAACCATAATTGTGGATTTGTCTATTTCTCCTTTCATTTCCATCAGTTTTCTAAGCTCTGTTTGGTCCATACGCACTTAGGATTGCTATGACTTACTGGTGAATTAACCCTTATATTATTATATAATGTCCCTCCCTATCTATGACCATTTTCTTTGCTCTACTTTATCTGATATTAATACAGGGTGGGAAAAAAGTAGGTTGACAGTTTATGGGGAAATTAATATAATTAATACAAATAATACAAGAATGCACTCTGTATTTCACATGCAACTGTAAACCTTGCCTCACCCTGTACAGCTACTGCTGCCTTCCTTTTATTCATGTTTACATGATATATCTTTTTTCCAACCAACCTATATATTTGAAGTATGTTTGTTATAGACAGTATATAGTTAGGTCATGTTTTCAATACACTTTGCCAATTTTCTGTTTATTGGTGTATTTACACCATTTATATTTAGTGTAATTATTGATTTTAGGGCTCAAGTCTGCCATTTTATTTTTTGTTTTCTATTTGTTCTCTCCATTTTACATTTCTCTTTTCTTTTTCCTGTGCTTTTTTAGAATTTCGTTTTGATTTGTGTATAGTTTTTTTCAAGTGTGTCTTTGTATAGCTTTTGTAGCTGTAGTTCTTGGTATTACATTATGAGGGGGGACCCAAAAAACCCTGGAATTATCTTCTGGAGGGCAGACCCCTTGTAGTGCAGGCTTCCCCCACGAGGTGAGTGTTCTAGCAACTCATCTGTGTCAGTGTACCAGCTGGCGTTGTTGTAAGAAGCTGGGTTGGGCTTCAGGAAATTTTTTTGAAGACCCTTTCAGTGCATTTGCTCATTTCATCATGGGTGATTTAGGAGCACACCTGCCCACACTGTACTGAGTTTTCAGCAGTTTTTGACCAAAAAATGGTATGACCCTCATATTCCACCCTCTCTATTCACCCAATCTCATCCTGAGTGAGTTTTTTTTTGTTTGTTTCCCTGGATGAAAAATTCCTCAAAGGGAAACGTTTTGTGGATGTAGAAGTGAAACAAAACATGGCAGAAGCACTAAAAGGCGTCAAAATTGACAAATTCAAAAACTGTTTTGAGCAGTGGGAAAAATGTCTCAATAGGTGCATTGCATCAGATGGATAGTACATTGAAGGTGCCTGAAGTTTAAACATGTAAGAATAAATACACAATTTTTTATGAATAAATTCCCAATTTTTCAGGTCCCCCTCACATACACACATAACTTATCACAGTTTCCAGGAATTATCATTTTGCTAGCTCAGGTACAGAACCCTTGACATGCCTAACTCTTCCCTGCTTGTATAACTGCCTTAAATATTTTCTCTAATCCATTTAAAACCGCATCAGACAATGGTATAACTTTTGCTTCCATCATCAAACAATTTAGAAAACTTAAGAGAAGGAAAACCTATCATGTTTATCCATGTTTTTCTTACCATGTTTTTTCTTCTTCCATGATTTCCTTCCTGTTTAGGAAACTTCCTTTGCTAATTTTTGTAGGGTAAGTCTACTGGTGACAAATTCTCTTAGTTTTTCTTCATCTGAGAACGTCTTGATTCCCCCTTCATTCCTGAGGGATATTTTCACTGGGTGTGGAATTCCCACACCCAGTTCTTTTGGGAGTTCTTCTCTCTCAGCACTTGAAAAACATCGCACCATTCTTTCTGGCCTCCCTGGCTCCTGATGGCAAATCCATTGCCACTCTGTTTTCCTCCTACAGTGAAGGTCATTTTTCTCCAGCTGCTTCCTGTAATCTTTGTCTTTAGGTTCAGAGGTTTAATTATGATGAGTCTTTTGGTACTTTTTTAGCCTTTAGTCTTTTTTCTCCTCTGCTCCTTGGACTTCAATGACATAAATGCTATGGGGTTTTTTTGTTTGTTTGTTCATCTTTTTGCTTTTGTTTGTTTGTTTGTTTTGCTTCAGTCCCTTAGTTCTCTAAGGTTCTGTTTATTTTTTTTTTCAGTTTATTTTATTTCTGTTGCTCAGATTGGGCAATTTCTATTTTTCTATCTTCCATTTCATTAATTCTTCTTCTGTACCCGGTATTCTGCTGTTGAGCCTATTTACTAAGCTATTTTGTTTCAATTACTGTATTTTTCGGTTCTTTATATCTTCTGTTTCTTTGTTGAGTCTTTATATTTCTTTGCTGGGCCTTTCTATTTTTTTTTTTTTTTTAGTTTTAAGCATGTTTGCATGTGCTCATTGAAGTATTTTTATCATGGCTACTTTCGTATCTTTGTCAGATGATCTAACATCTCTGTCATCTCAGTGTTGTCTTTCACTCACTCAGTTTGAGATATGATGCTCTGGATCTTAGTTCAACCTTTTCTTTTAGCTGTTCATTTATTTGTTTGTTTGTTTTTGACTCTGCTCTGACAGGAGAAGGGAGTGCTGCTGCCTTGTCACTACCAGGTGGATTCTACCTCCGGCACCAGTCTCCTCACTTGACCTCTGTTGATACTCAAGGGGCACACCATGGGAGAGGCTCCTGTGTCGTCCCTGACACTGCGGTGGCGGGGGGGCGGGGGGGCTCCTTCCTGTTGGATGATGGTGAAAGTCCTGACCATCCGACAGGCCTCTTCTGACCCTAACTTCAGTGGGGAGGGGACTGGGGTGCCATGTTACTGCCGGGTGGAAGCTCGAACTCCCCACATGGGTCTTCACTGGCGCTGCAGGGAAACTATCTTGCAGGCCAGTGGGGATGGAAGTCCTAGCTCTCTGCTTGACCTTTCTGACACCACCCCTGACTTTATCGTGGTCCTGTGCTGGTGGGAGTCTAGGCTCCCCACTCAGCCTTTGCTGGCATGGGGTTAAGGGCCATTTTTTTATTTGGTGTTGACTGAAGTAGAGTGATTATTATCCAAAAGTGTTATGTCTCCCCTTTCCTGGTCCTTAGGCTAGAGAGAGTAGGCTGTTGTTGGGTCTTCTTTTGTCTGCACTGCTGAGCCTGGAATAAATAAGGCAAAGGGAAACCCAAGGAACTCGCCATTATGTCTTTTCTTAGGTCCAAGTTTCTAGCTGGTCTGTCTTCTTAAATTTATTTTATATGTAATATCCCAGGGGTGGGGGGTACACTTAGTGGGAGGAATAGGAAAAAGTATGTCTACTCGATATTCCCAGAAACAGAAGTTCTCTTTTCTGTCTTTAACCAGCTTCCCCAGTGGGAGCATGAGCAATGCCCCCGTGTTCCAATCTACTGACCAAGGACCCACCCCAAGGAACCCAACCGGCTAGAGTCACAGCACTGCTGCCGGGCTAAACTTGATTGGCAGCTCCTGACACCCGAACAAAACATTAGCTGCAATACTCTAACAACACATTAAAAGGATATTTTTTGCTCAAGAAAGGTTTTTTTCTAAAGAGTACAAATATGATTTGATATTAACAGATCCAATGATATGACAGTATTTGCAGGTTAAAGGAGAAAAATCCATGTGATCACCCCATGAATGCAGAAATACGCAATCGACTGAGTTTAACATTCTCTCTGAAAAAATTTCTTAATAAAGTAGAAATCAACAAATACTTTCTTTAAACAATTGAAATACAAATATCTCTAATCAAGTCAGCATCACACTTAGTAGTGAAACATGAGAATCTTTCCCACTAAAATTAAGTCGTCCATATCACCTCCGTTATTTAGCCTTGTTCAGGGAGTACTAGTCACACATAGGATGCAAGTAACATTTTCTGGCAATTACACTTGTATTTCCACCATCTTCCACCATGGTGTCTCTCTTGGGGTCGACATTAGCTATAGGATTGCTTAGGTCACTCCCTCGCCTCAACAGGCTCTCTGGCTTTCTTTCCCTTGCCACGTGTCATCGTCAACTGATGGAGTTATGACCAGGGTCATCTCTGATACACTTTGTATTCTTAATTTTTTAACTCTTATTTATTGATTTTTAGAGAGAGAGAGGAAGGGAGAGAGAGAGGAAGGGAGAGAGAGAAAGAGAGAGAAATACTGATCTGCTGTTCCACTTATTCATGCACTCATTGGTTGCTTCTTGTATGTGCTCTGACCAGGGATTGAACCCGCAGCCTTGGTGTATCGGGATGATGATCTAACCAACTGAGCTACCCAGCTAGGGCTATATTTATACTCTTAATGCTGTGAAAACAGTAGGTCCTCTATGAATATTTTCAGGTTCTCTATCCAAAATCTGATACTAAAAATTAAAGTAATATGTATATGCTACATATAACTTGGAAAGTACTGGTAAATCAGTAGTTTTGTGATTACACAGTATTTGATTTACCAATTTTTGTAATAAGATCAAAACAGCATACCCTAGAATACTCAATATTTTTACACTGGAATTTGGTGAAATCATAACTGCTTTCATATCTAAGGCCTTTAAGCTAAAAATCCCTTGGCTATTCTAAAATGTCCTCAAAATTTGATGAGACATACACAATCAAAACAAGGCTGGAGTCACTGAAAAATTACATCAGTACTCAATTACGGTTTCACTTTATAACTGGCACTCTCAGTCTAACTTAACCACACAACTGTCTAATACAGGGGAACGGAATATATGCTTGCTCTTTCACACCTCTTGTTTCTAAATTTAGCTAAACATTGTAAGAAAGACGTTAACCCAAAGATGCATTTTCTAAGTTGAAGCACTTCCATTATTTGCCCTTCTCCACTGGAGACCTGCAACGCAGCCCATGCCCCCGGGACACTCCAATTTAGTTACGATGAGAAATAACAAGCTAAGTCCTTCAACTGATCTAAGATTCCCTCACCAAATCAAACACTTTTTTAATTGACAAAACATCAAGTTCAAAGCTTACCTCTGTTCCAGAGTGTCTATCTCTGATGACATCCATCTGTCTCTTAAACAGTTCTAATACAGCTTTGTAGACCAGCTCGTACTGTTCCTGGAGAGCGCCACCAACCAGACGAGGAAAACAAACGCACACCTTGGTGAACGACTGAACCAGATTTCAGGAATACGCACACCAATCAACAAACCAAATCCCAGGATAAGAAACCCCCAAAAGCCATTCACATTAGTTTAATGACAGTATAGCCCACTTCAGATTTCACAGCACTTTTAGGCGGCTAGAAACCGCTAATTATTTGTTCTACTTCTAAGTAATGTACAAGGAAGGAACTTGCGGCATGTTTTTTATGTGCGACCCCACTTTCTTACCAATCTTTCCTTCCATCATCACCCCTTTAATTTTGCTTTCCTTGCTCATATGTTATAAATTTTATTTCCTATTGGATGCATTGTTTTTTGGTGAGCCATCTCTGGGAAAAGGTAGACACATTGCGGTTGATGGGTAGATAGATGGCTTGAATCCATATTACTTAACTCGACCCTCATAACTGACCTGTAAACAAGCTAGGCTGTTATTCCTGTTCTTCATAGACCATTTGTCCCAAGTCCCTCAGAAGTAACTTCCAGGGCTTGGGTTAGAACCTGAATCTTCTGACGTTTAGTTTAGCGCACTTAGATCAGACTCCTGAAAGTCTGTCCCAGCAAAGATATCAAAGAAGAGATCACCGAATAGAGTTTGGAAATGTACGGTTATAAAGTGATTTCACTGTAGAAAAATGAGTCTGCTATAATCAACATTGTTTATGGGTTTTTACTACTCCATTTTTCCCTCTGTACCAGCTCAAGCGCTTGACTTTGTATCTACTTTTTGTCCTCTATGTATTTTTATTTATTTTTTAAAATTGTATTGTAGTTTTCCATTACCATTTGTCCCCCTTACACTCCCTCCCCCCAGCAATCACCACACTGTTGTCCATGCCCATGAGTCCTTTTTCCTTTTTGCACGATCCCTCCCTTCATAAACCTCCGCCCTTAGCTGTCCACCTGCTCTCTATCTATAAGTCTGTCTCTATTTTGCTTGTTAGTTCAGTCAGTTCATTAGATTCCACAAACGAGTGAATCATATGGTACATAAGCCAGTGAGAGAAAGACAAATACCGTATGCATCCACTTTCCACCTGAATGAGCCCATTGAGGGTTTTTCCTGACTCTTTACACGATCTTACACAAGTAAAGTACAACTTTTTTTTCAAATATGATTTTAGCAGGAGAACAATGCAGAGTCTATGTCAATGAACACGGCCACTGGTACACTTTCTAAATTTCTTAAGAACAGAGAAGAAGCATACAGGAAGCACTCGTCCGGTTGCTGTGCTATTTCCTGGTTACGGCGGTGTCAGAAGAAGCAGCTGTGACTGGTGAGAAGTTTGCTCAGCTGGTCGTTGGTGATGCCAAAATGCGCAGGTTAACTCTAACCTTGTGTCTGCCACCTCCCAACCCTTAAAAATAGGCCTGAAATGGACCCTTTTCTGGCAAGGGCATGGTTTTTATTTACTGATCAGTATTACAACTCAACATTCTACAACTTGGTTGCCTGCACTGATGCGGGTCAGCCTTCTTCTAAGTCTGACAGACTCAAACCAGCCAATGCTTTCATTTCACACAAACTTTCCCCCTCACAGGTTGAATATAGAAAACACCTACAGTCAACACATGAAAAAAAAAATATTTTTCCACTAGCTATTAGTGGAAAACCTGTGTGGGCCAAACACAAGGTTTATTTTATAATAGCTCTTCACTTTTTCCCTTTGATTCACAGCTTCTACATGAAAATATCCAAACTGCCGCTGTCGATGGTTCTGCCTCCAAACCTATGTGGCAGTCTGTTTGCCTTAAACGTGTGCGGGTCTTGCTGTTTGAGCAGGAGAAAGTAGTTCTAACGAATTATGCCAAGGTGTCTGATACCTAATATCAACAGATGTTGGATGGATGAATGATAAACTGTATCCTAAAGATGGAGACCATTTAGATATATGAGTGAAATAACTGGTGAGGAAACGTGGGTGAAATTAGTATTGTGAAAGTGAGAGATTTGGGGTGGGACTGTTTCACCCAGAAGGGAAAACTTGAACTTGAAAAGGAGAGGAGAAAACGGGGGAAGAGCATTACTAATGGAGTGAATGAATGTGAGCAGTCCGGGATGGGTTAGAATATTGTAATACATATATCATCATATATAGTGTGAGTGTAATTACATTTTTCAGGTATGCATAGATTAAGGACCAAGAGAGACTACAGAAAAATAGTGATAGCGGTTACCTAAGTGATAGGATCATGGTTGATTTTACTTTCATTTTTCATTCTTTCCTATAATGAGCATAGGCTGCATGCTCCAGATTCTGTTACCACGTCCTGAAGTACAAAATATCTTTGATTTTCTACAGTTTCAGAAATAAATTAGTGTTACAAAGTTTCAAGTTAACCTGACCCAGCTATTTCTTTCTAGGAAGTCAAACAACTTGTTGCATTTTTTCAGCCTCCTTTGTTAAGAAATATTATATTGGTTTCTTGATATCCGCTGGACAGCAAAATACAAAGGATGAAAGGAATTTGACCCAGGGCAAGGAATACTGGGGGAAACGTTGGGATGTTCAGAGTTGGAGGAGATGGGAACGGACTCACGCACTGGACAGGAAACCCATGTTGCACCTAAGCGGGGATGCTCTGGGATGCCCCGCTGTTACACAGAGGGGGCGGGGCAAGACTCCGACGCATATTACGATCCATCCACCCCAGTCCGTACCTGAGTTTGAACAAACGAAGGCCTCTGTGTTCGCATCTCCTGGATCAAATTAAAAATACTGAAGTTCTCGGGAAGTATCTATCAAATAAAAGGAAAAAGATCTGACTCCTTGGTTTGTATATCCGTTAATAAATTATTGCCACTTTCTCATAGTCTTGTGGCTGCCATGATATCTGCTCTCCCAACGTGGGATGATACCAGAAAATAGATCGATTTTTAAAGTTAATGAAGATTCTCATCACTCGCATCATGACTGACAGCCTGGTGTGCTCCCTAGAAAAGGCTGAAGCGACCATTCGGACTGATTTCACATGGGGTAATCAAATAAACGTCTGACGTGAGTGATGAAATGAAGACGGCCGAGTACATGAGCCAGTGTGCGTTTCATGAAATAAAAGGAGTTGGCAGACAGTTCTCAAGCCCGTATCCTAAACTTCCCTTCTCTTACTGGACTCTTAGAAAGCCAAGTATTGATTGGAACACAAAGCTCGATGGTGGCAAATTGAGTGCTTCCATCAAAGCGGTTTGCATAAAGGAAGGGTGACCCCGTCGCTTAGGGCAGTGGTCCCCTCCAGCTACACCACGTGTCAGAGCCCCTGCAGAGCTGGCTGGGCCCCATCCCCAGAATCTCTGCTTCAATCCACCCCAGGTGGGGCCCAAAGTTTTGCATTTCTAACAGGTTCTCAGGTGATGCTGATGCTCACGCTGCCTGTCTGGGGACCCCACGCTGAGAGCCACCAACGGAACCATCTGACAAGGCAGGTGTACAAGTCAACCTTCTCGAAAAGGTGCATTGTGGAGGCGGGTGTTTTGAAGACCCGAACAGTCCCTAACCCTGAAGGGAGCAGGGTGAACAAATGGGAAGTGCCTGCCGAGGGAAACTCACCCCGTCCTTTAGCAACATCCACGTATAATCGATAGCACAGATGACCCCGGTCCTTCCACAGCCGGCACTGAAATAAAAGATCACAGTAAGAGCATTCACAGTTGCCGACAGTGGGTCACTGACAGTCGCTGGAAGACTTCACCAGCAGATCTGAGGAAGAAGAAACCTAAAGACAATGAACCTCTCTAAACACTACCATGTCCCAAACGTGTCTGCAGGTTGCCACGTGTCACACTGAACTTCAGGACAGGTCCTGGCGACTGCTCCCAGCAAGGGTCTCTAGAGCGGCACTGCTCACAGGCAACTTATCAGAAAAAAAAATAATAATGTAATGCCTGGCTTGGATTTATTATAGTTTGTTTCTGCTGTGACCTTTCTCTCTCTATCACATTTCTAAGCTTCTTTCCTTTCTGATCAACTGGAGAAAGTGAGGCAAGGATTAGGAGCCCTTATCCTATGTGCTCACACCACCTTGACCTCCACAGAAGTCAGCCTTCCGTTGAAGCAAGAGCCCGGCCAGACTGCGACACCGGGGTTGTTCTGGGTAGGAGGCTCACAGAGAGCGCCATACCTGCAGTGAATGCATATGGGCGCACTGTCATCCTCCTGGAAGCAGCGCACATCCCAGATGAGCTCAAGGATGGGATCTATAGACGAAGGCACATCGTGATCCGGCCAGTTCCTGTAGTGGAGCTGGTAGATAGTTCGAGTTTCCTGTAAAAAGAGTAGCCAGCATAAAAGGAGAGTTCAAGGTTAGGACTCCACCTCGTTCTACCACAATACTTCTCTGACTTGCTAAGTATCATCTATATCCTTTTTGCGATTTATGCTGCTTTCTTTCGTATAGACCTCTGGTGACCATACGTCTACAAAGAACAATTAGGTGATTTCAGGTCACTTATTATTGGCCTGTCCCTCTCTGCCCCACTCAACAGAGGAGGCAGATACGAAGATAGTCCAACCTGGAGCTTCCCAACCGAGAAACTGCACATGGGCCATAGATACGCTGATATATTAGGTCCCTTTGCCTCAGAGGGACTGGGCAGCCTGAGCTCTCAGGCTGGTTTGCAGCCTCTCTTCGGCCTACACAAACTGTTTTACAAGTGGTCATGGTGTGGAATAGACTGGGGAGCCCAGATGCCACCCAAGATCTCTTTTGAATATGAGGATTACTCCAGAACAACAAAGGCCCCCCCATCACTCCCCATTGTCTTATGCCCAGCCCAAGTCCCGTGCCTATATATTAGCCTGCCTGATGTCTGCAGGCTTTTGAATTCACCACCCCATTCTGTACTTACACTGTTGAACTTGACTTTTAGAGTCCTGATTATGTAATGAGATTTTCTACTTTCAGCTTCCTAAGAAGTAAATGAAAATATTCGTTATTTCAAGGACAGAGATTCAAGCATGACTCTCTGTAGAATAGACCCCCAGCGCTGGCTCCGCCGCGTGGAACGGGCGTCACACTTACGCAGGAGACGGAGAACGGGCCCAGCTGCAGCTGTGTCTCTCCCAGCTCAGCCCAGTAGCGCTCGCACTTTTTCTGTGGCGCAAAGCAGAAGACAGTGATTTCCCTCCGCGTAGTCCAGGCTCCATGGAGTCACAAAACCCCCTCCCTCATTCAGAAGCCAATTCGGCTCCACGTCCTTCACCTTAGGTGAGGAGCTTCTAACCCCCTCGGCCCTCGACCCCAGCTGCGTGGCCCGGAATCTCCAAGGATGGGCAAACAAATGGCACAAAGACTATATAAATGACAGACTTCCTAGAAGTCTGAAAAAGTGGAAATAGGGATCTGACATTTCTAGTATTTCAAACAGATCAACAGAGGTCACGTCTACTAAAAGCTGCACAAGCGGACTGAACCACCAAGTGCCCTCGGTTGTAACTGGAATTGTACTGATTCAGGATGGCAACAATAGGTGCGAAGAATGCTGCTCAACAGAAATATAATGTGAGCTACATATGTAATTTTAAATTTTCTAACAGCCACATTAAAAAAAAAAACACAAAAAAAAACCCTGGCCGCATAGCCCAGTTGGTTAGAGCATCATTCCAATACACCAGGTTTGTGGGTTCAGTCCCCTGGTTGGGGCACATGCAGAAATCAGCCAATGGGTGCATGAGTGGGTGGAGCAACAAATGGATATTGTCCCCTCCTCTCTCTAAAATCAATAAATTTTAAAAAAATTTTAAACAAAAATGAAAAAAGAGAAATTAATTTTAATATAATTTACATAGCCAATACATCAAAGAAATTTTCAACATGTAATCAATATAAAATAGTTATTAGATATATGACATTTTAAACTGTCTCCAAAATACAGTATGTTTTTAATATTCATAGTACATCTCCACTAATATGCTAAATTTTTATTGGAAATATTTTATTTCCATTTAGATTCCGTAAAATTTATAGTTGAAAAAGATTCAGATACCTGAGTTGTTCCAAACATACTTAAAGTTTTCTAATAACTGAATTCCATATCGGTTTTTGAAATTAAATTTGTTAAAATAAAATAATTGAGTTCCTCAGTCACACCAGCCATATTCTAAGAGCTCAGCAGCAACACGTGGTTAGCGTGTGTCACGCTGGACAGCACAGGCTTAGAAGCTCTGCGTGGCAGTTAAAGGTGTCCGACCAACAACATGGAAAGGTGAATGGTTACTGTAAAAAGCATACCTTATTCTTCCCTTAAAACACAGAGCCTACTGGAAAAATGGACAAAATAAAAGGGGTCCTTCGGAGTAAAAAAACAAAACAAAACAAAAGTCTTGAGAGTCATTTGGCATTCCCAAATTGAAAACTGGCAAGATGAGCATAAATTTCACCTAGTTGCACTTAAGAAAAGTTCTGCTACCAATTTCCCCCTTGTTTTCCTTCTTGCCTTTACCTTTGCTCAGGCTAGGAGGCACTCACCTTCCCCATCTCGAACTCCATGCACGCCATGACAATGATCTGGGGGACGAGAGGGACAGAGACTTAACCATTGCTCCAGTCAGAAAGAGCAGCTAATACTGTCCATGGGGCCCAGGGTCAGAAACTGTTAATTATTCTTTTCTGGGTTTCTTTTTTGAACCAAAAAAGAAATCTTGATAAATTACAAACTCTTGCTCCTACCCTTCCTTCTTTCTCTCCCCACTTCTCTTTTTCTCTATTCAAATCAGTAAATTCTTATTAACAAATGAGCCCGTCAAGATGAGAACTTTCATTTCCTTGAAGAATGACATTGTGATTTGGACTAAGATGTACCAGAACACCGAAATTCTGGTGACTAACGAAAAGAAACACTAATTTAATACATAGGAAACCTCAGTAACGTGTCCCGATGCCCTTGGCCCCTCTATCCCTAAAAATGAGAGAACAGTAACGAAAGTAATGCTGCTCTTACCAGGACACTGTATTCCCAAATCATCCTCCAGAAGTCCAGGACAGTTGTAGGCAAGGGTCCCTGGGTGGCAATGTAAGCCCGGGGTCCATAAACTCCCTAGCGGGGAACAGAAATTACATGGGGTGACGACAAACAATACCCTTTTGTTCTTGTCCAGTATATTTCCCTCCCTTTTTTTTAGGTGCCTGGAGAAATATAGTCTACTATCCTCTCCCATGTTTTAGGTACCTAGAGAATATGGAATGTGGACTATACCTTAACGAAGTTGGCATTGATGTAACTGGAATCCTCGTCAGAGGTTAGTAAGGACAGCTCTACTCGGCTATGATCATCTAGGATACAAAAGAAAGACATAGGATAATTACGGGGGCTTAGTTTGAGGGCTTGCTGTGAGTCAGGGACTACCACTGTGAATAGGGGTTTGAAGAGTGAGTGAACGAATGAATGAGTGAATGAAGGAAGGAATGTTCTTTTGTAGTCATAACTAGTACAAACTAACTTGTCAAGGCCATGTTCCAGGACTAAGAACGGCAAGCAGTGGGTGAACGGAGACAGGGATAACGGAGCTTGGGAGGAGGTACAAGTTTATGGGGAGAAATGAACCTTACAGGGCAAGATATCCTTGTATCGGTTTTTCTTGATGTTCTTGGGCCTCTCCGCCACAGTCGTGGGATAGGTTCTGTCTGTCTTGTACTTGGTGGAGAGTCTTTTCAGCTTCTGTAATAAAATGCCAATATTTAAATCTTCCTAGAGAAAAAAGGCAAAAAGCTCTCTCTAGAGAGCTTTTGAAGAGACCCAAGTTTCACCACCCTGAAGCTGCCTTTTGGGGATATTAACTAAGGAAACAGGACTCAGAAAGAAATTTTGATCCTCCCCCTTCGCTGACTAAGAGATTCAGACAGAGAAACCTGCTTCATGAAGCAGAGACCTCAGGAGGCTCCCCTCAGCCTAATTTGAATCAAATATGATAAATAAGAGGACTTCAGGCTGGCCCCTGTGTCCCACTGCTTCTGAGTCACCTAGCAAGGATTTCCTGTCACGCACACGTGTGTGTGTGTGTGTGTGTGTGTGTTCCGCCGTTCCTCAAATACCTGTTCATTGCCCATTCTCACTCCTGAAATCTAACACCTCATTCCCCCCACCTTCTCCTTTGTCCAAAAATATCTTATACCCAATGCTGCCTCCCTGTTGTTGAAATTGTCATGGAATTATCATGTCTATGTGACATGAAGTCCTCATGCACATGTATTAAACTTTGATTTTTCTCCTGTTAATCTGTCTCTGTTAATTGGCTATTAGCCCAGCCTAAAAGAACTTAAAAGGTGGAAGAGGTAGTAATGATTTTTAGCCTCTTACTCTTTCCTTCTCCACCACCCGAGCCCTCTATTTCAGCCCGTTTAGCATCTTCTAGGGTGGGGTTCATTTGTGACAGAGCCCCAGAGCACAAGGAGGGAGAGTTCAGTGACATTTGGAAAAGTGAAATGATCGCACTTGCTGCAGCTGAGCCACAAATAGCTAAAACTTAGAGCTGAAACCGATATTTAAGAAATCGGCATCTTCTGAAAGCAAGCTATAGTGTCGCCTAATGGATCAGATGTTAAAAGTTTAATTTACTTTCTTTACAGCTACTACAGGCTACCTTAAGTAGAAATGGAGCTTAAGCTGCATTAAATCTCTCTAGATCTAACAGAATTTCAAAGATTCAGTCCCCAAAGCAGTCACTGTTCACGTGACGGAAACTTCCAGCCCACCCCACAACCAGTGATTTTCAAATGGTATCATTCTGTGCTGGTGGAATAGATCTTGGCCAGTCAGGGGTTAGCATAATACGGTTGAAGAAGATTCCTTAAGATTGTGGAGTAACTCCTTACATGTATTCCCATTTGCCAACATTATACTTCAGACCAAAATTTCAGGTCAGCGGAAATGATGATTCTTCTTTAGCTCTTCTTATAAATCAGTCTTGTACCAGATTTTGTTGAACACCCTTACCATTCAAAGAAACAGTCAGGATAGGAAGAAGTTAGGGAAAGCTCCCCACGATGGGAATGAAGAAGTCCTCTGCCAGTGCCCCCACCTCCACGCGTGATTAAAGGGCAATAATTTATGGCAGGAAACTCCCATGATGGGTCACAGAAGCCAACAACAACAAGGGCTGGCTAAAACCAGATCAAGCCAAGATGGAAGAAAAGTTGACCCGAGAACAACCCCAAAGCTTGCTTTACCGGCATTATAATGAAACCTGACACCACGAGTAGAAGGGGGGAGGCAAGGGGAACAAGTGCCATGACACTTTTAGAACAGGCCATATTAGGAAGAAAACCACCACCAAAAGGTGGAGCCAGAATTTGGCACCACAAAGTTCAGAAACAGCCCACCCTTGGAAACACATAAAATCCCAAGAACCGACTGACCAGCGCAACTGAGTCACGAGTTGACCGGTGTCCGCTCAGAAGTGTACTTCCTCCTTTCACCGCGGTGCCCTGGAGACTCGCAGCCAGCCAGCGAGGGCAGAGGACGACGGCCCAACCCCTGATCTTGTCTCCAGGAACCAGCATCCTAGCTTCTTTTTCATTTGAATAAACCATGTTTTTGCTCTCACTGGGACTTGTCCTTGAACTCTTTCCAGTGCAAGTCAAGAGCCTGGAAGTCCTAGACCATGCGGGGGTGTAGGGGAGGACGGTGGGGGAGGGGAGGACGGTGGGGGAGGGGAGGACGGTGGGGGAGGGGAGGACGGTGGGGGAGGGGAGGGCAGGGCCTGCACCAGGCACATTTAATAGATCTGACCTTTGGGAACCCTTATTCAACTTGAGAAAGATAAGGGGAAAACGTCTGTGATAGCCAATACATATTTGTCAAATTTAACTACAGAAAGTAATTGGTATTATTTACTCACTATTTAATAGGGAATTGGTCCAATGAAGATGATAAATTACTTCCTATGGGTCAGATCCCTCAGCGTCCATTCAGTTTTCATTCTCTTAACTTCCCTCTTGAAATTTCCTCCTCCTGTGGCCCTTATTAGTCTACACTATCTTGCTTCTCCTCTTTCTTCCCTGACTTCCCTTTCCCATTTCTCAGTCTTACTGGCTGTCCATTTCCATCTTGTAATTGTGAATTATCCAAAGTTCCCAAGTTAAGTCCTCAACTCTCCGCTCTGCTTTCACTATACACATTTGAGCAGAAATACCGCGTACTCTTAGAGCAGGCATACCAATTTGAACAGGCCTGTTCAAATTTTGTACTTAACGGATTAAAATTGAATTATACTTCCAACCCCTACTGGATGTCTCAAATTTCTACATTGAGATCAGATCACTAAATTTCAATCCTGAATTCCCACTCGTGTCCTAGACAGTCCCGCTTGCGTATCTTATCATTGTTGTTCCCATTGCTAATGCCAATGGCACTGTCTTTACCCCAGGTAGCCACACTCCAGAAACCGGGAGTCGCTGCTGGTTCCCACAATTACTATGTCCGGTTCAGTCAGCAAGTTCAACTGATTCTTTCCACGCGGTGTCTTGCATCAGCCTTCCTTCCTATGCCCACTGCACACACCGTAATTCAGGCCCTTTCCCCTCACATTGGCCCGTTAACAGTCGTTTCTTAACTCCTCCTCCCATTTTTCTGTCTTTCCCCATTGAAATCTGCTAGGCATGATTGTACCAAAATAATCTTACTAAAATATTGCCTTTTATCTTGCTCATGCTCCAAACAACTTCAGGGAAGCCCCCTTGCTACCAGGAAAAAGTCTACGCTCCTTGGCCAAGTGCTTAAGATTCTCCCCACGTGGACCAAAGTTTCACCACCCTGAAGCTGCCTTTTTGGGATATTAATTTTAAGGTGTTTCTTAAGAAACAAGATTCAGAAAGAATCTTTGACCTGCTCTCCTCTCCTGCCCACGAGATTCAGACAGAGAAACCTGCTGCAGAAAGGAGAACTTAATGTGTTCCCCTTAGCCTAATTTGAATTAAGCATGGTAAATAGAGGGCTTCAGACTGTTAGCTAAATACCGCGTGCCCCATCGTCTCTGAGTGACACAGATAAAGCCTGTGTGTGCGTGTGTGTGTGTGTGTGTGTGTGGCCTATAATCATTTACCTGCCTTCAACACCACCTTCAACAACGGGACAGGATGTCTTTTGCTTCCCTACTGCACTCATTCTCCTGGAGCCATCCGGCTGGATGACAAAGCGAGACACTCACCGAAAACATCACGTAGGAAATTCCTACAGGACTGTTCATTTGGAAAGCAGGAAAGATTCTTTCCACCCTCCGCCCCCCATAGCTTGCTTTGAGGTCAGACCACTGTGAAGGCCTCCTTTTCTGTTGTTCCCTTTTTCTCTCCGCTGACCCCCAAACTCCAGCACCCCAACCGAGAACACAACAGAGCAGAATTAGAACAGAAGAAGTGATGAACCACACCAGAAAAGGAGAAACTCTGAGAGTAGGAAGCAAAAGGGCAGAAAATAGAAAGCGGGCCGCAGAGGAGGAGTGTTGGGGCTGGGGATAAAAGATAGGTCGAAGGGGAAGGTATTTCTCTGTAAATCTCAGAGTAGGGGTATGCGATCCCTGCCAGCAGCAACAACGAGAGGCCCCGGAGAAGAGCTGCTGAGACAATAAAGAGTCCAGAGCAGGACAGAGGATACAGTCAGTAGTACTGTAGTAACTGTCTGTGGTGCCAGGCAGGTATCAGTGGGACTCACTGGGGTGAACACTTCATAAGGTATGTAAATGTCCAACCACTGTGCTATCCACCTGAAATTAGTAAAATGCTGAATGTTTACTGTAATTGAAAAAAATACATAAAAGTAAAATAAAAATAAATAAAAAGTAAAGTAAAAATGGAAAGAAAAATAAAAGAGGCCAGCATCCCTCCTGGGCCTGATGAGAGAGAGACCAGATTCTGGGGGTGCTGGAGGAGCTGAGAGTAAGCTCATTTGATCTGTGGACTATGCTACCCCTTTCCTTTCAAGACAGGAAAGCAGAGGTGAGGGCCTGGCCATCACACGCTGGAAAACAGGACTGAGTCCTTTGCATGGTCTTCTCATTGCCTAGTAAATTCATTACTGATAAACGAGTTAAGTTCACTCCCAGAAGAGAATAAGAAAGAAAAAGGAAAGAATGAGACCCCAATATGTTAGCCTCTGAAGACCGCATTATTGTAACGAAGGCATAGCGTATGTCATATTTCCAAGGGGGGCAATGAAACTTGGTCCTCCTGTGCTGGCCGGGACAGGGGAGACAAGGTTCGGCTGTCGGCAGAGCTTCTCAAGGTCGCTCCTCAATGCCTTACCATTGCCAGTCAGTGTTATTGCCTCTCCCACGGCTCCCACAGGACTGAGAAAGCATGAATGCTAATCCATGGAATTAGGAGCTTGGGCCTCTGAATCCAGGGAACAAGAGGACTGCTAGCAGGAATGGGGGACAAGACTCAACTGGCCCTGAGTGGCCCAGCTGTGTGCTAGGATGGATTCTGTAATGTAATGTGGAGTGAACGAAGGAAGACATTTGCATGAAGCTCAAAAACCAGGAAGGTGAATGTCTATTGTTCAGTGACATATCCAGGTCTTCAAGCCATGTGACAACAAAGAACAAAAAGGACCTCGGGGTGGTGGTTACCTTGAGTTTGGCGGGAGTTTGGGGATTTAAGATCTGGAAAGACACCCAAATTTCTGGGGTGAGGGCAATGTTCTTTTTCTTGCCCTCAAGCACCTGTGTGGTGCTTACACGGGTACCTCCTTTATTACGAGTTGTTAACTTGTATACATGTGTGGAACACATTTCTGTGTCTGTGTTAGATTCTGCATTCTTTTAAAGTTTAAAACGTTAAGACCAATGAAGAAACTGGAAGCAACCGGGTGTGGAGAAGGGGAGGGAACTAAGAGCACGGGCTCGAAGGTTAGAAAGCTTTAGAGTCTCAAACCAGAGTTTTCGAATCCTGGCTTTGCTATTTTCTGGGTGAAAGGAAGATAACACTTCCCCTTGGAGTTGTAGTGGTTAAGATCATATATGGCAGACTACTTGATTGCCTCCTAGATGGCAAGCAGTCAAAAAACAGGTGTCTATATTATATTTTATGGTTATTAATTTAAGATTAGCTAGGTGGTAGAGAAGATGATACGATATTGTAAATTTTTAAAAAAACTCTTTTGGAAATATTTGGCGCTACTTAACCAATTCAATGCTAATATTCTGTGACCCTCTGTAATACCACTTTGGAGGCTCTTGCCTTAGGATATAATCCAAAAACCACATGGACAAACACATTTGTTGCAGGGCTATCAATAATCATGGGAAATTAGAAATAACCTAAATGTCCAACAACAGAGATATAATTTGATTATCTGGGTGCCTGTTCCATGTCAGGCGTTTTGTGTAGCTATTCTATTACCTTCAACGCAGCTCTGCAAAGTGAATGCTACTGGTTCCCACTGTGCATTGCTTTTCTTAATGTCACACAGCTGGTGACAGGCAGGACCTAGATCCAAACCCAGATTTATCTGGCTCCAAAGTTATTATAAGTACAGATGGTTAAGCAAGCAGACTTGAACTCAAAACTCAGTTGAACCTCCGTGTACTAGCTATGTGACCCCAAGTGAGTCATTAACCCCTCTGTGTCTCTACTTCTTCTTCTATAAAGTGGAAATAATAACAGTGCCTTTTTCAATGGATTAAATAAATCACTATATAAGTATTTAGAACAGTTTCTATAATAGGCATAGAAGTATTAGCTATTATTATGATTATTATTTTCTCATTATACCAAACTGCATCAGAAGTTGTTAATAGATTTTAATCAACCTGATAATTTTGGTGTGATGTTAAGTGAAAATAAGAATAAAAATTGCATCTATGCTTATAATTACAGTAGTATAAAAGTCATTATATAAATGGACAAGAACTAGAATGTTTCTACACCAAAAAACATTGTATTTGCTGGGATCTTTGGTACTATGTCGAATTTCTTTTCTTTTCACTTGCAGTAATATTATGTTATAAGAATAGCAACAATAAGGCTGTGCCCTGGCCAGACGGCTCAATTGGTTGGAGCACTGTCCCGTGCACCGAAGGTCTGCAGGTTCAACCTTCCAGCAGAGTGTAGAAGGGGGGCAACCAATTAACATTTCTCTCTCACATCGATGTTTTTCTCTCTCTCTTCTTCCTTCCTCTCTCTCTAAAATCAATAAACATATCCTCGGATGAGAAGTTTTTAAAAAGAATAGCAACAGTAGGATTTTTTAAAAGAGAAAAATTCAGTTTGTTAGAGCATCGCTCCGATACACCAAGGTTGCGGGTTTGATCCCTGGTCAGGGCACATGCAAGATTCAAACAATGAATGTATCAATAAGTGGAACAACAGATTGATCTCTCTCTCTCTCTCTCTCTTTAAAAATCATTATTTTTTTTTGAAAGAAGAAGAAGAGACTTTCCATAGTGTGGTTACACACTGCATTTCTGCTGTTAGAAACTATACTAACTAGGGCCTTACCTTCAGGCTAGGCCCTTTGAGGGACTCAGTGTTACTGGCTGAAGCAAGAAACTAATTTCACAGGATCTGAAATAACAGGTCCAGGTTAAATTTCATGTCTATTGCTGAATGGCTAAATGAGCATAGACCAGTTAGTTAAACTCTCCGAGCCTCAGTTTCCTTGTCTGTAAGTCAGAGATTATAACTACCTCATAGGATTTTTTTAAGTGTGGAGTAAACAAGATAATGAATGTGATGTTTCCTTGACACCCCACCAAGACTATCACAGTTATAATTAAATATTTAATAGCGTAACCAGTTGTTTAATGTCTGCCTCTCTAAGACATCCTCCAGCGCCTGGGGAGACAGGCTCCGCCACAGCACGGAGCACAGCACTGCAGTGCCAGCCCCCAGCACGAGGCTCTGCACACAGTAAGCACTTGATAAAATACTTGAATGAATGCGTGCAAACCTTGTAGGAGCAGTTAATGGCAGTTTCGACCACAGAAAGGTTACTGACTTCAGTCTTGGCCCAGAGAAGCGGACCTAAATGGCACAGTGTGGCATTAGCTGTCACAGCATGGCTACATGCTCCGCACAGAGACAGCCCGCTGGGGCGACGTGGGGACTGAAGGCTCAGCTGTGGACCAAGTAGTGCCAACAGTGTCCTGTGTCCCTGAATCAGTCTTTAAATCTCAGCAGCATCAAGTCCTGGGGGAATACACTAAGGGCTTCAGGTGGGATGTGGGACACGACCAGGTGGGACACCCTTTCCCTCTCCCCCAATTTAATGGCAGTGTCTACCTTGCCCAAGCAAGCAAACTGGCCTCCTTCACCACCCTTTACCCGCCCCCCCCACCAAAGCTAGTCTCTCTTCTATCTCAGCTGAACCTTTAGGTGGGGCCGAGAGCAAGACTTTGTTTTTCCACTGGAGGACATGAGTCAGTGAACAGTGAGGTTCCACTTAATCACCCAAAAATAAGGTCCTAAACCAGGAGCTAAAAAAGCAAGGAAGTGATTAATATAAAAGTCAGGGCAGTGATTATTCTTAGGGCAGAACAGGGTGGGGGTGGGGGTGGGGGCGAGGACCCACGGGGGAAGGAATAGATGGAGTCCCCTGAGGTAAGGCCACGTTCTGTCCCTCTGGGGGGGGGGGGGGGGGGGGCTGTACGTTCACACCCTCACACATTTTATGTGCTTCTCTAGAGTGCATTGCAGTTCACAATTTTAAACAGCTTGAGGGAAAAAAAAACTATAAAAGGTTTGTAAGCAGGGAAAAAACGACCAGATTTTAATTATTAAGAGATCACTTGGGTGTTGAGTGGAAAATTAATTGAAGGTGGAGAAAGGCCACAGACAGAGAAAACCTGAGGGGAAGTGACTGCACAATGTGATGAGAGGTTATGATGACTGAGCAAAGAAACGGTGAAATATTAGGGATATAGTCTATATTATTATTATCATCATCATCATCATCATCATGAATTATTATTATTATTACTTTCATCCTCATCCGAGAATATGTTTATTGATTCGAGAGAGAGATGTGAGGAATGCCGATCGGTTGCCTCCCGTACTGACCCGGCATGGAGCCCGCAGCCTAGTTTTCTGCCCTGACAAGGACTCAGATGAACCCACAACCAGCCGACTGAGCCTCTTGGCCAGAGGTCGTCTACACTATTTTTTTAAAAACACAACCAAAATAAAACAGAGGCTGGCTCTGCCCCCTCGGCTCACATCTTTCCTCTCTGCGTTGGAGACATTTGCTCGGGAACCACATTCCAGGGGCAGGGAACTGTCTAAGCAGACACACAGGCCAGGACGCTCCCGCCACCCTCCCCGCTGACTCTGCCCCGAGGGACTCAGACTGTCCAGCACTTAGAGCACATTTTTCATGCCCGGGATATTATCCAAGCAGAGCTGACACAGGGGTTTATATTATAATAGGTAATAATTCAACCAAAATATTTGATCACTAGAGACCTCACAGAGTATTAACTCCACGAGGGCAAAGGTTTGGACTTTGCTCACCACTGTATCTTCAGTGCTTCGAACTGAACTTGGAACAGAGCTCGGTGTCCAATGAATGTTAGTGAGTGAATGACCACATTTAATTATTCTGGGCATTTAATCATCACAGCAATCCTGTGAAGATGGGCAGGACATGAATTATTCTCCCCATTTTAGAAATTAGAAGAGAGAGAGGAGGGAACATGTCAAGTAGTTGATCATTTGGTTGGTGACAGAATCATAATAATTTCATTTCAGGTTTGTAGTTCGGTTCCCTCCTTTTCCCCGTTTTTTCACAGCTGAAGAGCTGAGGTTTGAAGTTCTCATAGCGCTGACACGCCAGCCGGGGGTACTCCAAAATACATCGGGGGTACTGTCAGGCACCCTCTGTCGCCGGGTAGGCTGGGCCGTAGGGTGCATGAGGCCTCCCCTGGCCCCCTGCGTCTGTAATCACAGCCCCCCGTGGAGACGCGGGGTTCCTCTCCATCACCAAATCCCACCTGTTTGGGGGTCCTCACCACATCCCTCACTTTTCTCTACTCCCCATCCTAGCCCCTCCACCCCTCCAAGAAAAGGCCAAGGAAACGCTGTTATTGTAAAAACACATGTTTCAATCTTCTTTTCGTCTTAGAAAAAATCAAGACCGGCGGCAGCAGGTGGTTTCGGTGCACTCGAAGAGTCTTGGCGTCCACGGGAAATCTGTGGGGAGGCTACCAATAAGGCTCCGTGAAGAGTTACCCTCGGTCTCTCTCCTCTTCATAGGAATTAAAGTTAGTCATTTGGAGCATAAGTTATACCTCAGGCACCAGGGAATGCCAGATGTTCAATTAATGTTAGTACTGACACACCTGGAGTTATGTAAGTCTGCTGTAGATTTCTAGTCAAACTCCAAGAGCTAGCAGAGAAAATATGAAAAACCAGCCCTGTGGAGAGAATATCTAAAATACACACAAAGCTCAGAGAAGTCAAACTCTAGGTTGCCTTCTTCCGCTCCGCCCCTGAGCGGTCTGATACTCGCTTTATCTCAAGAGCAATTTGGTCTCGGAGAGTTGGACCACCCAAGTCAGCTAAACAGTCCCTGCAAGGACCCCGAGGGTGTCTGTCACACGGCGGCGGACTCACCAGAAATTCACTCGCAAACTCCTCTCTGCTCGTTTTCTTGTTTTGGGCCCCATCCAGGAACTTCTGCAGGATCTGCCTCTGGTCCATGCTGCGGGGCGACGGAGATCATCTGTGAGCGGGTTACGGGAGGGCATGTCCCGTGTGTGTCATGGCTGAGACACTGGCGAGCAGCCACTGCTGCAGCCTGAGCCGAGCATGCTGGAGGCTGTGGTTTACTGACTTCATCACAAGCCTGAGAGGAAATTAGTATGTAACCAGCCTCTGTGGTCACACAACAAAGCCATCCTCTCCGGGCCCTAGCGCCTTCCTCCTCAAGGAAAGAGTCTGGTTACATCTCAAGTTTTTAACAAACAAGACACTAACCAGAACATGAAGTGTGGTCAGCTCGCTCCGAGGCTGTTCCACTCCAACATCTCTATCTTTGCTAGAGAAAATGTAGAATGACAGGTCTCCTGCAGGGATTCTGCCTCTGCCCGTTTCCCCCATGAGCACAGAGGCCCTGTTAACACCTGTTTCCTCACGTCCCAGATGAACCCTGCCAAGGTCTGTTAGGCCCAGGAAGGGAGACAGACACTATTTGGAGTTAAGCTTTTTTTAGGGGTTTTTGTCGCTGTGATCAATGGCAAACTCCTGTTCATCAAGAGAAGGCATTTTTACTGAGAACTTTGAAGACTGCCGCGTAGACCTCAAACTCTCTTTCAGATGAAGCAGAGTCAGCTGCTCCTGACAAAGCCGGTGCCTGACCCTGGGCTGGGGAAGTCCTGGCCTCATTCAGGGAAGTGTGGTGGATTCCGGGACCCCCAGGACCCCCCAATACTTTCTGAGCTTCACTCGGGTTCTGGATACGAAGACTCAGAGCATGGGTCCACTGAGGATCCAGGAACGCAGAGGTTCTTGCTCCCCCCACCCTCCCCCCACCAGGGGGGAGCCCAATCAGGAAGTTGGCATATCATCCCCTGCCTGTGATGAAGGAAACTATGAAGGAACAGAAAAAGGGCAACTCAACCACCTTGCTGGCAACAGCTTAACTTTCAGGGCAGAAAGCCTGAAGAACCATTTCTAGAGAAGCTATTTCTGCTCTGTAGCTTAACTTAGGCCTTAGAAAAAAGGCCATTGTTTCAGGAAGCCACACTGTTTGTGGCATTTTGACCCCATCTGACAGGCAGGCTGTTCTAGAAAAAGCTTCTACATCTCAACTTCCATAAATTGTCTCCTCAGTGCACACAAACCTACCTAAGAGTGTCTCATTCAGCGTGAGAACAACCAGAAATCAGCCTATTGCCTCTTTGAGGGCAGATTTCAATGGTTGTAGTCACAAAACTAGTCAGAAATGGTCCTGAAGAAAATGTTTAAATGTGCTCTGAGGACTTCCTCTAGTTATTGGCAATCCTCCCTGTTTTGCAACATTAACTCCCTTTAGGAAATCATGGTTCTGAACACTACAGGCTTCATCCACGTTGCCGAGCCCCACGACACGAAAGGAAAAGTCACTGAGGTACGCTGCTTAGTGGCAACGTGAAGCCAATAAAGAATTTCGATCCTGATCCACATAATAAATTTAAATGAACCATAATTCTTCAACAGTATTTGTTGTGAATAGGATAGTATTTCTCAAATTACCCCCTTTAGCATTAAGAGAGAGTTTCTTGCTGCTCTAAGTAATGCAATGTTTAATTTGGCTATTTTAACACATAAAATATGGGGCAATTTTTTAAAGACCAAAATTTCAAGTTCACAATAGCTAAAATCATGTAAAACTACATACATGGTTTTTTTTTTTTTTAATTTTTATTTTAATCATTGTTCAAGTACAGTTTTCTCCCTTTGACTCTCATTCCAGCCCACCCACCCACCCCTCCCCACTTCCCTCCCATTACCACCCTCCCCCTAGTTTTTGTCCATGTGTCCTTTAAATTTGTTCCCGTAAACCCTTCCCATTCTCCCCTGAAATTCCCTCTTCTCTCCCCTCTGGTCACTGTCAGCCTGTCCTCTACTCCAGTGTCTTTGGTTATATTTTGCTTGTTTCTTTGTTTTGTTGATTAGGTTCCTGTTAAAGGTGAGATCATATGGTATTTGTCTTTCACTGCCTGGCTTATTTCACTTAGCATAATGCTTTCCAGCTCCATCCATGCTGTTGCAAAGGGTAGGAGCTCCTTCTTTCTTTCTGCTGCACAGAATTCCATTGTGTAAATGTACCATAGTTTTTTGATCCATTCATTTACTGATGGGCATCTAGGTTGCTTCCAGCACCTAGCTATTGTAAATTGTGCTGCTATGAACATCAGGGTGCAAAGGTTCTTTTGCATTGGTGTTTTAGTGTTCTTAGGATATAGTCCAAGCAGTAGAATTGCTGGGTCAAAAGGCAGATCCATTTTTAGTTTTCTGAGGAAGTTCCATACTGCTTTTCATAGTGGTTGTACCAGTCTGTTTTTTTTCTTAAAGATTTTATTTATTTTAGTTACAGGGAAAGGAAGCCAGCTCTCTGCCTTCCCAAGGGAAGGAAGGGATAAAAAGAGGGAGAGAAACATCAATGTTCGAGAGAAACATAGATTAGTTGCCTCTTGCACACCCTCTACTGGGGGCCTGGCTCTCAACCCAGGTATGTGCCCTGGCTGGGAATAGAACTGGCAACACTTAGGTTTGCAGGCCAGCACTCAATCCACTGAGCCACACCAGCGTGGGCAAACCATGTACATGTTTAAATGAAGACTAAAAGATGTAAAAAAGAATCAGTTGTGTAAGTATTGGGATTAAGAATGCTTTAAAAATTTCTTCTTTTAAAAAATTACTATATCTTTTTTAAATTAGAAAGAAAGACAAAAATCCATTAATTTGTTCAAAAAATTTACTGAGTATCCACTAAATGCTAAGCACTATGTAAGGGGCTGGGTATAGAACAGTAAACAAGACAGAATATGGTGAAAAATATGATTAACCAGTTAATAAAGCATCTCAGAAACTAAAGAAATGGACTTAATTACTGATCAAAATATTCCAAACTAACTTGCTTATTTTCAGAGTAGCAAGGCTTAATCTGAAAAGAAAAATGATTTTCTGTATTTTGGACAAAAAAGAGGTATATACAGTTTTATAATCTAAGAATGCCTTCACTTCCATCAAAAAACAGAACTTGACTAATGAATAAACAAGAAGATACCTAACAAAATGAAATTTAAATCTATTTTCCTCAGGCCCATATTTCAGAACAATCTCTTTCTTATTTTCTTGGGGAGGGAGAAAATGGAGACAGGTATATGAAAGAAAAACTTTCTTAGACTTTTACTGAAAATATAAGGATCTGAAAATAATGTCTTAGCGGAACTACAGTTCGTTTCCGAAGCAAATACTGAATCTTAAGTGTCTCATCGGCTCTATAGAAACATCATGAAATTACCAAACCTCAAAAACCCACTTAGCAAAAAGGCCATTTCCTGAGCAGACCACTCAAGCAAGGAAAAAAAAAAAAACCAGAAGGAGAAAACAAAGAATGTGTTTTGTTTTAAGCAATCTAAGCTAGTTCTTAATTTTTCACACTTCCTTCTGCAGGTACATGATGCCTTTTGGTGGAGATTCTGTTGACTCGCTTGCATTTCATGGGGAGATCAAGAACAGGGGAGAGGAAATGAGTCCTGCAGCAAAGATTATCAGGAACCTAAAAAATGTTTAAGAATTTACAATGAAACATTTAAACACATCTGGCCCAGGCCCTGAGCGAACTCTCCAATTCCACGCAGTAAAAGCCTCATGAACTCTCCATTGGAACCATCAGGAGTGAGTTCTAGTGGGAAGTGAAATTGTGAAAGAGCGGCTGAAGAGAAAGGAGCATCCCGCTGCTCCCTCGTGGGGCTCTGCTGTTTGTTCAGAAGGATGATGCCTGCAGAGGGCCCATTGCATCGTTGTCAGGCCCAGCAAGAGGGGAGTGTGCCAGTTTAGGGGGAAATAGCATCACAAAGGTCAGGAGTTAGATGACAAAAAACCTTGAACCAAAGAGAATGTCAGGGGAGATTATGAGGACGAGGTACACTCATCATTGGGTTTCTGGAAACATTCTCCTCTCTCTATGAGGAGGCGTGTTTTACCCTGGGGAAGCTGCTTCCCCTACATTCCAGAGTCAACTGATTTGACAGGGCCCATGTGTGCTGTCTGTGAAACACTCAGTGCTTCACAAGCATCCTCTCAGTCGGCAAGGCCTATTGGTCCTCCCTCCTGGACGTCTTTTAGATTCAACCCGCCTTTTCCACTCCCTGGTTCACCACCATTCCCCTTTCACATCCGGATCCCCGCAGCAACAAGCTCTGAGTTATCTTCCTCTCTACATATTTTCCACTCTAGTATCTACTGGTTACCAAGGCTGGGGGAAAGTTCTTAAAGCCACTTTACCCTGAAGGACCAAAGTACTTACTAGTACACAGTCTATGGGAACAAGCCCGAGTTGTCACAAGCCAATTCCTACCAAGGGTCCCCACCCAGCCTATCCAGCCACATCACCCACAGACCTTCTTCATTCTACTGCCCCTTCTTTTGCTGCTTCTCACCTTTCTCCCTAATTTTCGCCAAGATGGAAATAGAGCCGTAAATCCTTGTTACTCTTTTCTTCCAAAACGCTGTCCCCACCTCCACCTCAGCACACCCTTCTCTGAGCCTGAATCCTTTTGGTAGAAATCTTTATATTCAGCTATAGAGGTTTTTCTCAGTTTCTTCACATGTTCCTTGTCTCCCACCAGTTTATTTAAGAGTTTATTCGAAAAGATGGAGGCATAGGTGGATGCACCGTGCCTCCATGCACAACCAAGATTAGAACAACAACAATTTAGAGGCAGAGTAACACCCAGAACTGATAGAGAATTTATCTGAATGGAAGTTGGACAGCCAAGAAGTTGAAGTAGACCCGTTCATCCAGACCGGTAGGAGGGGCAGAAAGGAGCAGCCGGGCGTGGGTTGCAGAGAACAGGGAGAACCGGGAGCATAGGACAACTGGGAGTGCGTAAGGCATCTGGGGTGTGCAGGTGGACACTGAGTATGCAAGCAGCAGCTGGCAGACCCAGTGAGGCGGCGATTGTGGACGGGGGCAGAGTGCACAGCCCAGGATCCCAGGGAAGGGACTGAGGTCCCAGGAGAGCGGAGCTACAGCCATTGTTCCCTCGCGCCCCGGCCCCACCCCCACATACAACGTCACAATGTAGCGACTGGGGTGCCCAGCCCTGGTGAAT